GATATAAAACTGTTATTGACATACAAATCATATAATTTCAGGACGTCGAGTTCTAAGAGCGTTTTTTACAATTCGATGTATTGAAATACTTGTATTATTTATATATCAATAAAATAGTTTGATAATGCTTATTACATGTAATTATTGCCTATAATTTCGCTTTTTTACAACATTTCTCTAACAATTTTATCAGTGTAATTAAAAACAATCCGATAATGAAAAAAAATTTCATATTGGTTTCAAATTTATCCAAATAATAACTTAACATATTTGAAGTATGTGAAAGACAAAGAGATGGTGTGATCGAAAAGAAAGGGGTGAGATTATCTTGTACGCATGCACACGCATGCATATGTGTATACAGTATGTTATTAAAAAATTACATTATAATCCATATATATTGCTTGCGATCCTTAACTCCTGTTATCCGTTGACACACTAAAATGCATCTGTTTTGTCTTCTATAATCAGTATTGTTTTCTAATAGTTCGGAATAGAGAATTAATAAACAATCGTTGACTCGATGAAATCTGGAGCTTGTGTATCTAAAATTTAATGAAAGAAATTTAATTATGTGTCTTTCATGAACATTAATACGTACGCATATTTTAATTACATTAATAATGTAATCAAAGTTAGATTAAGTTATAATTCGGTCCTTTTTTTTCTATTTTATATACATATACTTATAGTATAAATATATACAAGTATATATAGTTTCAAAATTCGCGAACACGGAGTGCACAACGTGATTGTATGTGCCAAAAGAAGCAATTTTTTTTCTCATTTTTGGCTTGATCATACAATTACAATTTGGTGTCTGAGAATTCTAAAAACACCCTGTATAACAAAATAAAATCGTAATATTTTTCCATTTAGGTTATTTTATAATGCATATATTTACAATATCAATATTAATACTAATCAAATTTTATTTTAGAAACTGTATAAAGCATTTCAAAGTACTTTTATAATTTAAAAAAATCTTTAAGTGTTTTAGACTGTAGACTAATTTTAACGAACTTGTCAATATAAAGCTTATAAAATAAATATATAAATATACTGACCCGATAATAGCTCCTGAAGTTAGAGCACTTAAGATATTGACATGCTGCAAGTAATTTATCGCAAATGGAATATAGATACAAACGATATCGAAAAGTCCATAATAATAATAATAACTTAAAAAAAAACTACAAATTGCGTTATCAGAAAAAATGAATATAATCCATGCGATTATTATTCGAATTATCCAATTATGCAATCGTTGATATTCCTTTGGCATTCCAAGGGCTTCCAATGTGTCATCCACTATGGAGAGTTTGCGTAAGCATAGTTTTAATTCCTTCAAGAAATTGTATTGATTGATTACGCAATATAAGAAGATATTACAATGTTGTATTTAAATAGTTGTTATTACAATGTATACGAAATGTGATAGATAAAAAATTTACGTTAATAGCTAATTTAAGAAAATAATATAAATGCAAATATCAATTTTATTAAACATACAATGAATAATAATATAAACATTTAAATTGATTTGTTCGAAAACTTTATATAAATCTGTATTTGCCTATAATTGTGAGATCAAGGCTCCTTTAATACTGTGAATGGAAAAAGTGATTAAAAAAAGTTACGAAATTAAAAAAAATTTGTTAGCAATATTAAAGACTGAGGTAGTACATTTTAAACTTTTTTCTTACCTTAAGACGAAACAAGCTAATAAGTATCGACGTAATCGTAATGATCATTATTAGGATATTCCTCCAGGTTATGTATAATGATATTACGGGATGACCGTTGTTGCATAGATAATAAAGGAAATATATGGAAAGGCTCCATGTAGTCAAAAAATGCAAATAAGAAAGATACAGCCTAGATTGTCCAAAAGGATATTCAAACAAGACCAAACTGTAGAACGAGCTGATGATCAATAGTGGTGCTAGTGCTGTATGAATACATACAGGCTTCGTCATTATTTCTAAGTAAGTCGTCTATTAATAATTTGTATTAATTTTTGGTGCACAAAACACAAACGTGTTTTAATACTTTTTATAGATATTTCAGAAGTAGTTATTTATTTTTGCAGATCCTCTAGAACTTTATAAGAATTACACCGTAAGAAATGTCCATTGAAGGATACAGTATAATATACATGTCAATTTGCAAATATTGAGCGATGGAATAAAACATACAGATAATCTAGATTAGATTGTTTTCTTCTTATGCGAAATTTTTATTGTAGGATATAAACGAATATAAACATAAATATATAACTATAATATCCTTGATTATTATTATACTAATTCGAGCGCCATAGTTATTGATATTAAATCTTTTATTCAAATGGTAGATATCTCTCATTAGAGTTAAGTAAGTATAATAATAATAAAGATAGTACCACTTAACTATATTATGCTTTTTAATTTTGGTACAATAATTTTTTCGAGGATTTAAATTAATAATTTTTTAACAGAGAGAGAGAGAGAATTAAAGCTGCTATTTCTTGAGTTAGAAGAGGAAAACCTTCAATAAGAATATTTTTGAAAAAGTAAAAATGTTAGAAAAAGAAATATCAAGACGCCGGCGCCGGTCATCTGGATTTTTCAAGGAGTACTTTTTGAAAGAGAAAGCTGCTATTACTTGTGGGTTTGAACAGAAAGGCCTTCGACGAGAATATTTTTGAAGAAGAATTAAAAAACCATTATGTTACATCCGCGTAACGAGCGGTCTCGCACTCACGCACGCGATTGTGCTCTCGATAATAAACAATTATAAGGTATTTATATTAGAAAGAACGTTTATTTATTGAACACAACACAGCGAAACAACCGAAACAACGTGTAAAAAGATAAAACGAGACAGAGCACGTCCGAATGAACTTGACACCAAACTTGAAGTCGTCCTACTTGACAAACGCACATCTCATCGTCCTGAGAACACACATTCGTTTTCCTAGTCCGTGACTCATTCAATGTAGAACTCGGCACGAGCATAACAATTGCTTGGGTTGGAATATACTGTGAACAATATGTATAAAAGAATTTAATGTATAGGATGACATTTTCACTACAAACATCATGCTTAATTCTCTTGTTAATTATTGATATTTATTAAGCAACTTATTTTTAATTATTTAATTATTGTTTTATTTATTTTTAATAAAAATGTATTAAAATATAAATAAAATTAACTATATGTTTTATATTTATATCAACATATTATATTATTACAACAAAAATAATTTCATACGTATTTATATTTTACAAAAAGTATATTATATCCGATTCATAACTTCAATATATGAAATATTTTATCGAGGTTATATTTTAGCTTCAACTCAAGTCCGACACGTATCGTTAAAAGCCATTTATAAGTAAAAAGCATCTATTAAACAAATTTATGCTTAGTACTATAAATACGTAATATTGCAAGTATAATTATATATCTATATAATCATTTATTTTTAATAATACCTCTTGTAATAATACGTAATAAAAAATTTCGCTAGAAGAAAAGTGATCTAATCTAGATTTTATCTCTGTATGTATATTCTGTCGCTCAATATATTTTCTAAACGATATATGCGTATATCGTTCGAAAAAAATTTCGCTTATCTTCAAATATAGATATCTTACAGTATAATTCTCAAAAACCTAGATTTACAAAAACAAAGAAAAACTTTCTTTAATTTTAACAAAAGTATTAAAAAGTGTTTGTGTCTCTTTCTCTCTCTCGTGCAAGAGGATTTGATTCAAACTTCTACTCGGCACGGACGAAGCCATGACGAAGACATTTTACAGACAGCTCTAAGGTCGGAATCAGACTACGCATTGAACATTGAGATTAAAGATTGAAAGATTGAAATTTGGCCAATCAAAATAATAGGAGCAAAAATTCTTTTATTCTCATTGGTCAAATTTCAATTTTTAATCTTCAAACTCAATTTTCAATGCGTAGTCTGATTCCAGCCTAACACTTTATTGATCAGTTTGTTCTATTTCGGCTTGTTCGAGTATCCTCTACAGCCTTGTTGGTGATGCTGGACCCGCCTGTCGCCTGTATTATCGATAAAACAAGCGTTTTTGACGTTTTCATTCCTGTCGAACCTCTTCGCAGTAGTTTCACAGAATAAAAATTCCTTCTCCACGATTAAAATATCCGAGCTAATATACGTGCCCCTGGTGTCTTTTGTGTCCAAAGCTGGAAAAAGTATGAAATCATAAATTTCTTTATCCAGTTTTATCTTCAGCGTTGGTCGCCATATTGAGGTTAAATGGATAAAGAAATCTATGATTTCATACTTTTTCCAGCTTTGGACACAAAAGACACCAGGGGCACGTATATTAGCTCGGATATTTTAATCGTGGAGAAGGAATTTTTATTCTGTAAAACTCTAGGTTTGACAGGAACGAAAACGTCAAAAACGCTTGTTTTATCGATAATACAGGCGGGTCTAGCATCATCTTAATTGCAGCCTGTGGCGTTGCAGGCGTTAGCTGTGGCGCTCAAGTCTGTTCTTTTTCAGTTTCCTCTCTAGAATAGAATATACTCGTTGGTGAGATAGTGGCGATAGTGCAAGATAGAAGTGTCCAGGTTATGCATACCTTTTGTAAAACACGGCGATAAATTGTAAGTAGCGCTTTATAAGATGTATTATTTTCCTTTTTAAGTTACATCGCGAGATCTTAATTGTTCATGTCGTTAGACAATAATCTTGTCATTAATTTCTAAGTTCTCTGTGTCATAGCCGGTCTTGCGATACCGTTGTTATTAATGTCATTCGTACGCGATCACGTCTACACGAGTTAGCAATGTTAGCATATTCATTTGAGTTAGTAATAAATTATCTTTAAACTTGAGTCAGATTCAGTGATTAACCTTACATTGCCAACACATACTAAGTATTTTCCCGCCTTTCCATTTAGCCTTCAGCGAATCATCGTTGGCGTCAGACACGCACAGCGCATTGTTGGGCAACGAAACGAACACGTTAGCCCTTACAGCTGCAAGCGGGTTGGAAGTTGGAAATCGCATCACTGCTGATCACTGCGTCTAACCTCCTAGTCCATTATGGAGAAGTCGCAGAAGATGCCAAAGGTAGCGAAGGTGAAGAACAAGGCGCCCGCGGAGATACAGATCACCGCGGAGCAGCTTCTACGCGAGGCGAAGGAGCGCGACCTGGAAATTCTGCCGCCCCCGCCGAAACAGAAGATCTCGGACCCACACGAGCTCGCGGACTACCAGCATCGTAAGCGCAAGGCATTTGAAGACATCATCCGCAAGAACCGCATGATCATCACTAACTGGATGAAGTACGCGCAATGGGAAGAAAGCCAGAAGCAGATACAGCGAGCAAGATCCATTTACGAGCGAGCGCTCGAGGTGGATCATCGAAACATAGCACTGTGGCTTAAGTACACTGAGATGGAGATGCGCAATCGGCAGGTAATTATAAATCATTCTATTATACACATTCTTCATAATATGACACTCTTACTGTTCATATTATGTTTTTTTTAAACATGTTTTTATTAACCCTTGCCTCTGTATATGTTCTATGGTTAAGCATTTAAAAAATGTTTAATCTAAAAACATTTATAATTCAGGACATTGCAACATTTATGTGGAATCAAATAAATGTACCATACCACAGAACAATTTAATACATAAGAAATAAGCTTTACATAATAAGTATACTTTTTATTTCTGTACTAGAATTCTCTTTACTACTTTTTATAATTGAAAATTAAAAGACTCGATATATAAGATATATTAAGAAGGAAAACAAAGGCTAATGAAAGTCACATCTCAAATACAAAAAAAATCACATATATTAATGTCTTCAGAAATAACAAATATATTAATAAAAACGCAAAAAATGCTAGGACATTTTCAGATTAAAAGTAACGCACAAAGATTCATATATATTCAACAATAGTAGAAATAATAGTAGAAAAATCAATCATATACTTATTTCATTTTAAATTCCAAAAATGTATACTAGTTCGATGACAGAAAACAGACCTAATTATGCAGCGTAATTTTTATACATTTCTGTAATGTTTTAAACTTGTTATACATACAACTAACTAGTGTCAGTTTTTAATGGTATTAATGATTTATATTGGTCAGAGCCTTTAATATATTAATGTCGGCAGGTGAATCATGCCAGGAATCTCTGGGACAGAGCAGTCACCTTGCTGCCGCGTGCCAATCAATTCTGGTACAAATACACCTATATGGAGGAGACGCTAGAGAACATTGCTGGTGCACGTCAGGTGTTTGAACGATGGATGGAGTGGGAACCAGACGAGCAGGCTTGGCAAACTTACATCAAGTTTGAACTGCGTTACAAAGAAATCGACCGGGCGCGGCAGATCTACGAGCGCTTCGTCATGGTTCACCCTGATGTGAAACATTGGATAAAGTACGCCCGCTTTGAGGAGTCATATGGATTCATCAAAGGCGCGCGTGCTGTTTACGAACGCGCTGTTAATTTTTATGGTGACGAGGGTCTGGACGAGAAGCTGTTCCTGGCATTCGCGAAATTCGAAGAGGGTCAACGGGAACACGACCGGGCCCGCATAATCTATAAATACGCGTTGGAGCACATACCGAAGAGCAACACTCAGGAGATCTACAAAGCATACACGATACACGAGAAGAAATACGGCGATCGCTCGGGCATCGAGGATGTGATAGTCAGCAAACGGAAGCATCAATATGAGCAGGAAATCAAGGAGAATCCCTCGAATTACGACGCGTGGTTCGACTACCTAAGATTAGTGGAGTCAGAGGGCAATGTCGACGTGATCCGCGAGACATACGAGCGAGCGATCGCCAATGTGCCGCCTACCAAGGAGAAGCAATTTTGGCGAAGGTACATATACTTATGGATCAAGTACGCTATCTTCGAGGAACTGGAGGCCAAAGATATCGAACGGTGTCGGCAGGTGTACAAAGTGTGCTTGGAGCTCATACCGCACAAACGTTTCACTTTCTCGAAGATCTGGCTGCTTTATGCGTACTTTGAAATACGACAGAAGGATTTGACAAAGGCGAGAAAGACGCTGGGCCTAGCGCTGGGAATATGCCCAACAGATAAGCTTTATCGGGGTTATATCGACCTCGAGATACAGTTGGTGGAGTTTGACCGGTGTCGCAAACTGTATGAAAAATTCCTCGAATTCGGATCGGAAAACTGTACCACGTGGATGCGATTTGCTGAGCTGGAGACACGATTGGGCGAATTTGCTCGCGCCCGGTCGATATACGAGTTCGCTGTCGCGCGGCCGAGATTAGACATGCCGGAGTTACTATGGAAATCATACATCGATTTTGAGATTGCTCAAGATGAGACGGAGAATGCACGGCAGTTATTCGAACGACTACTGGAGCGCACGTTACACGTTAAAGTTTGGATAGCATATGCAAAGTTCGAACTGTTAAATCCACAACTTGAGGATAGCCCCGATAATGTCATCTTGGCGAGACGTATCTTTGAGCGCGGAAACGATGCCCTAAGAGCCAATGGTGACACTGAGAGCCGGGTATTATTGTTGGAAGCTTGGAAAGACTTCGAAAGCGAGAAAGGCACCCCTGAAACCCTCGCGAAGATCATAGAGAAGATGCCGCGTAGGGTGAAGAAGAAGAGACGTGTCGTGGGCGAAGATGGAAGCGACGACGGCTGGGAGGAAGTCTTCGATTTCGTATTTCCAGAGGACGAGTCGCAGAGGCCAAATCTCAAGTTCTTGGCTTCCGCGAAAGCGTGGAAAAAGCAGAGCGAACAATCTCAGTCTTGAAATCGTTAAACCTGACTATGATAAAAGAGAGCGAAACGCAACATATACTTTGAAAATATTTGTGTGAGATTAAGAAAATTCTTTAAAACTTTACAACCGTAAGAGTCGTGCATATTTTATATTACTGCAGATGAAATGAGAGCTGTAAGTGGATTGTTTTATGTACATATAACCTGTGATATTTTGCTATCATGAGAAAAATACTTGTACATTTATGTGTAAATAGTTTATATAAAATTTATTTTAATTTATATAAGTATACAATATATACATTTTGTTTAAAGACTACTTCTGGTCTTTGTATCAAGTTCAATTGTAATTTGATTTGGTTATTTTAGCTAAAGGAAATATTACTTCAAATAATTCTTAAAAATCGATTTAAATTTAATTTCAAAGGTTGAAGACACAATAGTGTACAACGTAAGGACATTTTCGCTGCAAAAGTATATATACAAAATAATATATTGAACATATTTTGATCGACGCAAGTATACGAGAATGTGTGTGAACCGCGCGACCTGCATGATTTTACTGTCCACCAGATGGTGTATGCTGTTCATTACCGCGTTTCAGTAGCTCAAAAGTAACGTCGCACGACGTCGCTAGATGGCATAGTCTGCCTATCTGCTGCATTTCAATGAAACTGATTACCGTCCATAGATGGCACTGTTGACGTCGCAATTTGTGGACCGAGTGAATTCTCACTTCTCGCTCGTATGATGTCGTATCGCGATTCACCGTTAGCGTATGAACGAGAGGGAGGGACAGGGTGGGACGGCGGGAGCACAGGAAGAGAAGGGCGTGAATCGCGCCGCGAGCACGCAGGTAGAGAAGCGAACGAGCGAATCCATGAGTTACGGTACTACCCGTGCTACCCGCGTCGTTTTTGTTTATCCTTTCGATTCCGCGGGCGACTCGTCGCGACAATGCCGGCCGCGTATATTAATGAGAGCTCCGTTTGCGCTTATATTGTTTCTATACTCCACTATTTCGCGTACTTTGATTGCTCTTACGTCCCCGACAGCTATCGTACAAAACGCCAAATTTAGGACACCAGGAGGGAAACGGCAGAAATAAGGTGGTTGCCCCCTCGAAAGTATGGGGACCGCCATACGAAAAGCAAACTCTGTTCCTAACTTCCTAGTTAGATCAGGTCGTTCACACCTGCGCATCGCGAGACATTGCACAATCCGGTCAACCGCCATTCATTATAAACCCGCCTAAAGATCTTCCCTTATCGGACTACCTCGAAAAGGCTATAAATAGCACGAATGACTCTCGAGTTTCTATTACAAGACTTCTCCGTCTTCCTTCTCCCTATCCGTCCCTCCATCCGCCCGATCCCTCGTCCTAAATGGAACTCCACCGCGCGAGCGGTTCGCCTATCGCGAGACGCGACGAGCCAGGAAACAGAACAGGTAAATACGCCATCCGCGCGTGTTATCAAACACCGACGCGACGAGGAAGCGCGACGTATTTGTCGCGACATGGTTCGCGCGCGCGCGCGGGACGAAAGGGTTAAGGGGGGAGGGTGCGCGCAGAGCGAGGCCACATCAGAGTCTCCCTCCTAGCGCGGAGGCGGGCGGCATGTGAAACGTGGCTGTTTCGAAAGTCCCTGCGCGTTAGCGCGCCTATTTTAGACGCGCGGGGCGCTTTGTCGAGACGCGCGTCGCGTCGTCGCGAGACAGAGAGAGGAACAGAGTCCCCCGGTTTCTCTATGTACTCGCCGAGAGGCGAGTTTCGGGAGGGTTACGCGTGCACGAATCGAGAATGAGAGGATTCGTGGTATCAGCTCGATGCGCGTTCTCCTACCTTATATATCTACCTACCGCAGGATCCGTGGTATCAAGAATTTACCGAACTACAATTCAATTCCATGTATCGTAATTAGAACAATTCGTCGATGAGACATCGAGATTAAGTTGGGGATATATTGAATCAATATCGCGCTAATAAAATTTTGTAGGACCATATAGCACATAAAAAACTTAAGCAGTAAAACGTAAGTATCGAGAGAATTGGAGCAGAGAATATATTTCGACCTCATTATTTAAAAAACAAATAATGTATGTGGAATACACATTACAGTTTTCGATAGGTTGAAATTTTTATTCTCCGTCCCCCCTATTCCTTTGATGGTGCGCAACCTTAAGAAAATCGATGTCGCGGATCTGTTACTGCTTATACATTTTATTGCTTAAGTCGTTTTGTGTGTCATGACCCTTAGAATTACGAATTTGATATTAAAATTTATATGTCAATGAGAACGAAATAGATTAAAATTAAAACTTTCTACCTGGTTAAATTCTAATCTCCAACGCGTATATAGTGTGACGTAAGATTTAAACGTGCGAAGATCGTTTCATAGATTGAGAAAGAATCAAATTAATTATTGACACTTTGTCAAATACATATGGTTTCGGATATTCGTATGGAGATTATGGAGCTCCGGCGATTTCTTTCTTTCTCTCGCGACTTTCTTCTCGATCTTCTCGCTTGACCAAACGTTTGATAACCCCGTAACCTTCGAAACGATCAACCAGCGGTGAGAGTCTCCGCTAGACTCACCGACGACGATGACGAGCGAACGAGATGAGAATAACATCATTGGTCTCTACCTTTTCAAGAAGAGAATGGTTTCGCCACCGTCGTCGGCACGAAAACAAACGGGTTACACCAGAGCACCCCGTGGTCGACACGCGAGACGTGTGCGTGTGACTTCCCTGAACCCCCCTCGCCGCCCCTTTCCCCTCGATGAGTCTCGACGACCCGAATCGCTCGACGGCGAAGCTGGTTTCGTGGATCTCTTCATGAGAGGCACGTCGTGCGCGATTTGTCGAGGGAGAGAGATAGGAGGAAGGGAGGAGAGGCGGGGAGGGGGAGGGGAGGGCACGGGGTGTGACGGGACTCGGGGGGTTCGTAGAGGCAATGCACTGTAAGGAGCTCACAACGACCATACCCTCCCTTTCTCCTTCTTGCCTTCCCCCTCCCCCTCCCCCTTTCTCACTCACTCACTCTCTCTCTCTCTCTCCTCTCGTTGCGCGACTTTCTCTCCGTCCCGCTCTTTGACTCTTCGTCTCTTCATCTCGTTCTCGTCTCTTCCCTCCTTTCTCTCTCTTCTGTCTCTTTTTCTCTATCGGTGCCCTCTTTCCTCCCCACCCCCGTCGCTCTATCTTTCTCTTCCTCATTCTGATGATTTCTGGTCGGTCCCTCTCGCTTTATCATTGCCTCCTCTCTTCTCTTCCCTTTCTGCCCCCTCTGCCCCTTCTATGATCTCTTCCTTTCTCTGCCGCCCTCTCGCTCGAGGAGGGCGCATTGGGGCGCGCTCGCTACTTGTGCATCACTCGTGAACAACCGTCCCGACTCGAGCCGATCTTCGACTCGAGGGATCTCTCTCGCTCGGGTAATCCAAGACTCGATTTTTTTTTCTTCTTCTTCTTTTAAGTCGATTTCTTTAGCCGCGATTTTCAAGCCGGGGAACGGGATCGACCGCCGATACACTTTTAGAGCATCCCGCGCGTACATTTCAAATTAAGGTCAAGCGAGAGTCGCGTTCTCGAGGGGCTGACGAGATTAAATACTCCTTATCGCTAGAGAATCGACGCGTCGCGTGAATACTGCCGTAATTCGTCTAACACGAACGGCGCCAGTTATCAGTTAGTCGATTCAAATTTATAACCGCGCGAAAGTGTATGAATTGCTGAGATTCAGGTCGACAGACCGAGAGTGCACACGTTCATGCGAGGCGGGACGTCCGGGGCCAAAGGACTCGGAAGTTACGACATCCGGCGCACAATACCGCTTCCTGTCACTCGCGACCTTTGATCTCCGTTTGTCCCACGTGCGATGCCACCTCGTTCACATGCACAATATAACTCTGTACGACGAGGCGCCATGCCGCGGCGAATCCCATGGGCGATCGATGGGTGGAAGAATGAAACAGACTTGTGATAATCGAGTGAAAGAAACGCGTACATATACATAACTTACGCAAGTCTTGAAAATTCAAAAGCAGCTACGAGCGAGACATTACTTATGTAACGTAATACTTGTAGACCGATAAGTCAGTTCTTACTTCAAGACTGTATTGAAATGTTAATACAGCTTCGTGATTACTTCGTGACTTCATAAAACGGACTTAAACATGGTACTCGTGTATATTAAGACAGGTACAACATTGATAATATTAAAAACAATCAATCAAATTTAGGTCGAAATAAACCTCCCCCTGCACTAAAAAAAAATTATTATATCTTAATATTTCTTTGAATACTAAGTAAACATAAACTTACAGTAAATAAATATTTACTTAATAAAAAAACAATAGTTAAGTCAAATATGGTTTTTGTACCGAATAAATGTTATTTAGAAATATTCAAACATATTTATTAAAATTTAGTTTTTTTTCAATGTACATGTATAATGGCAGTAGCATATTGGGACAGCCAATCAAATTTACTCTCCTACTGTACAAGTGCACACCCACGAAAACGTTTACACTTATCTTATTACGTCATGGTCTTAAATGTAAGAATCGACTATAAGTTCCAGAATTTCTAGACGGATAGAAAACAATGGAATAAGACTGCTTTGCGGAAGTTTTTTTAACGATTGTCGCTTCGCTCGAATAACGGTACTTAATCGAATAAACAACGGTACATAGAAAACCATCGCGAGAGGGGGTTTATCCTCATTGATCTCGAAAGTCTCGGGGCTTTTCACGCCTGTGGCGGGGAAGACTTTCCACGCGCTACGCGCTGCTCCGATTTCAAAAGGCGTCGACAATGGATGATTGATTCCTTTAGATCGTCACGCGCGGCTCACCGGAGAAAGGCTCGGAAAAAGGACAGGGGGTTCTAGGCCCCTTATTTACCGTTGCTGGGAGAGCCCAAACCTGGGCACGTCACGTGCCGGTGCAATGCTATATACTATGCCATGTCGAGACGAGCTGAGAGTTGCGTACATACATTGCCGCGGTGCGTCGTCGGGGTCGTTGAACGAGCCAGGGGGTACTCACGACGAGGACGACAGTAACGACCAAGCGTGGTGAGCGTCAACCCACTTGTGCCGACCCTGGACGCGAGTCACGTGCATACGTGTACA